CGAAGCAGATTCAGCAGTCAACTTCAAGGACGCTCGCATGGTAGATGGGACGCCACTTCACATAGGACCGATCATCCGCAAGTTGCGCGTAGTGCTAGGACCGATCACAGTCAGGCGTGATTTCGACTCTGCGACGCTGGACGGATATGATTTTATCTTCGGGAGAGATTGGCTACGGACGGTTAGTACTCAGTTCGATTGGGCTCAGGGAAGCTGCAGCGGCAAGGTAGATGGGGAGTTCCGGGAGCTGCCACAGTGGAGCGATGGGGCCACATCATCCACAGCTATCATTAATGCTGTTCGTGTGCGACAGTTAGTGAAGCGTGCGGCACGGATCTTCGCGGTTTTTCTTGAGGAGGTGGAAGCTGAGGAGGGGAAAGGAGGGAGTGCAGCAGTTAGTGAGAAGGCGACTCTTCCTGCTGAGGTGAGTGCACTGTTAGCAGAGTTCGCAGACGTCTTCCCCGACGAGTTGCCCCCAGGGTTGCTTCCCAGCCGAGCAGTAGACCATCGAATAGAATTGGAGCCGGGGAGCAGGCCAGTAGCGAAGCCGCAGTGGAGGTTGAGTCCAGCGGAGACAGAGGAGATGACGCAGCAAGTTAGGCACTTTCTCGCACAGGGTTTCATACAGCCATCTAGATCGCCTTGGGCCGCACCGATACTTTTCGCACCCAAGAAAGACGGAGGGTTACGGATGTGCATAGATTACCGCGCACTGAACGCCGCCACCGTCAAGAATAGATTCCCGGTGCCGAGAGTAGAGGATCTTCTCGATGCAGTGCAGGGCGCTAGAGTCTTCTCAAAGATCGACCTTCGTTCGGGTTACCACCAGATTCGAGTAGTTCCAGAGGACCAGCACAAGACGGCGTTTCGTACGAAGCAGGGGTTGTACGAGTTTAGGGTTCTACCGTTCGGATTGACCAACGCCCCAGCGACGTTTCAGACGCTCATGAACACAGTCCTCTCCGAGTTCCTAGGGTCGTTCGTTGTCGTTTACCTAGACGACATCCTAGTGTTCTCTAAGACGAAAGATGAGCACGTGCAGCACTTGCAGAAGGTCTTCGAGGTCTTACGGAGGGAGCAGTTATACGCTAAGCAGTCGAAGTGCGAGTTCTTCCTTCCAGAGGTCGAGTTCCTAGGACACGTCGTATCCGCTAGTGGCATTAGGACTGACCCGAAGAAGATCGCAGCAGTACAGGATTGGGTAGCACCGACCTCAGTCAAGGAGTTGCAGAGCTTCCTCGGTTTCACGAACTACTACCGTCGTTTAGTTCAGGGTTACGCATCGATCGCTAGTCCACTCACCGACCTACTTCGGAAGGGCGTATAGTACATTGGGGTCCAGCGCAGCAGCAGGCGTTCAAGCAGATGAAGTAGTCGCTCACGTCCTCACCGACACTGTCGTACCCTGATCCCACTCGCCCATACGTTGTAGTGACCGACGCTTCCGATCAGGCCATAGGAGCAGTGCTTCTTCAGGACCAGGGACGCGGGTTGCAGCCGATCGCGTACGAGTCGCGTAAGCTTAGGGGAGCGGAGTTGAACTATCCCATACACGACAAGGAGGCGCTCGCGATCATCCATGCGTATTAGGTGTGGAGGTGCTACCTAGAGGGGGCAGATAGTGTTATACGCACGGACCACTGTTCGCTTCGTTTCCTCAAGTCGCAGCCGCAGCTGAGTCGTCGCCAGGCTAGGTGGATGGAGTTCATGGAAGGGAGCTTTCATTACAGGATAGAGTACAAGCCAGGCGTGCGCAACCCAGCAGATCCGCTCACTCGCCCTAGTTGTCAGCTCGCCAGTCTCACAGTCACTGCTGGCCACCCACTTCTCACAGCACTCTTCGAGCACGGTTACACAGTAGATCCCGACTTCACACCGCAGCCGCCCGCAGGAGCAGAGGTGCAGGGTAGTGTCTACATACGGAAGGGTACCACACGGATTTGGGTTCCAACCTACCGCCCTCTTCGACAGCTCCTTCTCTCAGAGGCGCATGACGTAGTTAGTGCAGGGCACTTCGGAGCAGATAAGACGGCTAAGACGCTTAGTCGCACGTACTACTGGCCCGGGCTTGCAGCAGACGTAGAGTATTATATTCGCTCGTGCGACACGTGTCAGCGTACGAAGTCCTCTCGCCAGCGCAAAGCAGGACTCTTGCAGCCGATTCCACCGCCCGACCGCCCTTGGCAGGTAGTTACCATGGACTTCATCATGGCTTTACCGCGCACAGTTAGGGGTCACGACGCCATCTTCGTAGTAGTGGATAAGTTTTCTCGAGCAGCGCCTTTCATCCCCACGCACGGCAAGGTCACAGCAGAGGAAGCCGCGACGCTGTTCGTAGATAACGTAGTCCGACTGCACGGGGTTCCAGATTCCATCATCTCAGACCGCGACCCTCGTTTCACTTCGAAGTTCTGGAAGCAGCTTTTCGCACTGTTTGGGACTCGCTTAGCCATGTCGTCTGCGTACCACCCAGAGACAGACGGACAGACCGAGCGTGTGAACCAGACCTTGGAGCAGATCCTTCGCAGCATCACGATGCACGACGCAGCCGCATGGGACAAGAAGCTGAGCATGGCAGAGTTCGCCTACAACAACACGCACCACTCCGCCACAGGCATGTCACCGTTCTTTGCACTTTACGGTCAGCACCCCAATGTCCCCACTCGTGTCGATCTCACACCCACAGTCCCTCGTGCGGACAACTTCCACCAGCATCTCACCTTCATTCATGATCACGTGAGGAAGCACCTTGAGCTCGCAAATGCACGCATGGCACGCACCACCAACCGCAGTCGTCGTGAGGTGTCGTTCGCAGTCGGCGACCGTGTTCTCTTGGATAGCCGCAACCTCCGACTGCCACAGGACAGCAAGCTTCGTCCACGTTTCATTGGTCCATTCGTCATTGAGCGCGCACTAGGTCCAGTCGCATACCGCCTTCGCCTTCCCGCACATTTCCGCATGCACCCGTCATTCCACGTGTCTCTCCTTCGCCCATACACCAATCCCAATGCCACCTTCTCGGGCCGTGATCGCACTCCACTGCCGGTAGCTGTTGACACCGACGAGCCCGACTACCAGATCCAGCGCATCCTCAGGCACCGTCGCCGTCTCCAGGGGGGTGTCACTTTCATCGACTTCTTGGTTCGTTGGCGTGGTTACGACGCAGCAGACGACAGCTGGGTTCCTTCGTCCTCGCTGTCTCCTGACAACGCTTGCCTCCAAGCGTACCTTCAGTCTGCAGGCGCCGCGGACGTCGCCTCCTTGGGCGGGGGGTAGTGTTAGAGGGGTGTTTACTGTTCATTCCGAACAGTACATTCCTAGTCACCATTATCCTTATCTTCTCAGATTCTCTAGTGCCACGTGGCACTCTACTTTTCTTGCACTCCAATTCTTGGTCCCACATTCCACTTTCCAACCTTGTTTCTTGCATGCTATATAAACCTTGCTTGTACTTGCCATTATCAATCAATTCTCATTCAACTCTTCTTCAATTACTCAGTAACTTCTTCGCCTATTTCGCCAATAGTTCTTTCGCCAAAGTCTTCCGCCGCGTTTCATCCTCGACTTAGTCGACCCCGCTAATTCTTTAGCGGACTTAGGCCGTCGGGCCTAACAGCAGGGAATCTTTCACCCACAACCCTGTTTCAAATCGACTCGATTGGGTGCGCAATGACACGAACTACATTTTTGTGCTAGTAGTTTAAAATTGTATATTTGTTATTTTATAAGCGCATGCGCTTATATTTTTTACTCAATTATAAGCGCACCCCCCTGAAAAATCATGTTTTATTATAAGCGCAGGTGCGCTTTTATCCGGGGTAATACGGTAAATGCGGCGCTGTTGTATTGGAGGGGCTGCTGCCCCCGGCTTATAGAGTATTATATACATTGTGTAGGAGCAAGGGCGACTCTACTCAGATGCTGCAACTCCCAACGCGGGCCTTCTTTGCACTTGGCGTACATATTGTCATACCAGGTCTTAACTTATCCACACATTCATACCCATTTATTCGCTTGTAGCAGCCATTGATGCTGTAGAAGTACTTGACATCAATGTACTTGCAGTCATCCCCTGGTGAGATGGTGTAGGTGCTGGTCCTGGAACAGATGCCCGCTGTGAAGTTGGTCACGCTGCCAATGCACACCTGCAGCCATAAAGGAGGTGGTGCGTGGAGTGGAGTAGACAATGCAGGGAAGTGGGCCAGCAGGGAGCAAGGGGCACTTGCAGCAAAAAAAGATGCCCAACAGTGAATGCAAGGACACAGCTTGCAGAATTACTAACACAGGCCTGAACTCAGCTCAGCATGACTTCTGTCAGGGGGCTATCTTCATATCGCCCAAATTTCATTTCACAACGCCTTCCTGAGCCGTTTTTAGGTGATTTCCATCTCAACAGCATGAGTTGTCGTCGACCGTGGTAAGAGTTCTGTTGGAGCAGACTAAAATTTTCTCTAATGTTTGTTAAAGTGTCAGCATTCCGTAGGCCACCATCTCACTGTGCCCAATCTGTGCTCCACCTTTTGCCACCTGTTCCTTGGTCAATTCTGCGCCACCTGCACGACAATGCAGCATCTGCGCTGCCCACGCCATTTCCGCCTGTTGTCCACACCGCCTGGATGCTCTTCTCCTCTCTCCTAACCGACTTACCACTCTTCTACTCCTCCCTCAACACCGTTACCAGCAACAGCTGGTCACCGGTTGCCATTTCCCCGTTGATTTTCCTCATTATTTCCCCCAGCTGTCTCCCCAACTTGGCTTGTCACTCGATGTATTAGCTAATTGTAACTTGAGTCTCGTTTTTAGGTCAACGTTATACCTAATCATCTCGGAGGACCTTGTACTATATAGCTGCTCCATACCCATGCATTATACAACTGCATGCACCACACTGCATGCGCCACACTGCATGCACCACACTGCATGCGCCACACTGCATGCACCACACTGCATGCGCCACACTGCATGCACCACACTGCATGCGCCACACTGCATGCACCACACTACATCCACCAAAGTGCATGCACCACACTGCATCCACCACACTGCATCTGCCACACTGCATGCACCCCATTACTTGCACCACAGTGACTCACCTCAGCGCCAAAGGTGGTGGCGGAGCGGGAGTGGTTCTTGAGGGGGATGAGTAGGTTGCAGTTGACGCCGGGGTTGAGGCGGTAGAAGTCCACGGGGCTGAGAGGAGGCTCCGCCAGCTGCCTGATGCTGTCGAACGTGTCGTTGAGGCGCGCCCGGTAGTACTGGTTGCACACCACTGTCACATTTGCCACCCCGGGGTCCCTCTCGATGCACACGGCCTGGGAGGGCCTCAGGGAGGAGCAGTCCACAGCGGGGTTGAGCGCCTGAAATGCCGCCTCACACGCCGCATCCGATGCCGCCGCCCCACACAGCTCCACCTGCCGCGCTACCCCCGTGCACGTGTTGCCCTGGGGACACATGGAGAGGTAAAAGAACATGACAGAGGTAAGGAGACCAGCAGTTGGATGATGAAAGAGCAATATAGGGGATGGCTTGACACGTACGTTTCTAAACAAAAAGGCTCAACATCTGTGTTGGTAAAAACAGAAGATGAGCATTGAATATGGGGCGTGAAATAGACTATGGATTTGCGCTCCATATGCTGTGAGCTGTGCACGATATGCATACTCAGCAGCCATTGGCTAAACCATGAGTGGAGCCCTAAAAGACAGAGCAGGCTTGAGTTGAGGCGCAGAGGAGCCGAGCAGACGATGCCTTGAGAGAAATGTAGAGGATGATGGCACATGCATGGAATGATGGCACATGCATGGGATGATGGCACATGCATGGAATGCAGGGGACGATGGCACATGCATGGGATGATGGCACATGCATGGGATGATGGCACATGCGTGGAATGATGGCGCATGCATGGGATGATGGCACATGCAGGGGACGATGGCACATGCATGGGATGATGGCACATGCAGGGGATGATGGCCCATGAAGGGGACGATGGCACATCAATGAGATGATGGCCCATGCAGGGGACGATGGCACATCAATGAGATAGTGGCCCATGCAGGGGACGATGGCACATGCATGGGATGATGGCACATGCATGAGATAATGGCACATGCATGGGACGATGGCCCATCCATGATTGATGGCACATGCATGTGATGACGGCGCATGCATGGGATGATGGCACATGCAGGGGATGATGGCGCATGCATGGGATGATGGCACATGCATGGGATGATGGCACATGCATGGGATGATGGCAAATGCAGGGGATGATGGCACATGCAAGAGTCAATGGTAGGACATATCACAAGCATGTGTTATGCTGGGATACAAGAGGATCAAGAATACTCGCACTGTCCTGGTCGAAACCAACGTGGCACGCAAGCATGTGCAGCGGATGGGCTGGCGGTGGGGGTACCTTGTTCTGCTACAGGAACTGGTCCAGTGTGAGGGCGAATATGGGATGCACATGGGAGCACCACACGTTGCTCTGCTGCACCGTGTACACCCCCCCTGCATCCCCTGCACCATGACGCGAGTCACAACCAGTATGTAGCACAAGTGAGTGGTACACAGGAGGCAGAGTATGGGATGCCAGCAGAACAAGAAGGAAGCATGCGGCCAGGATGCAACAGGATGTGGTTAACTGCTCCATGCATGGCGGCCAGTTGGTGCTTTGCAAGTGGTACCAGGTGTCAAGGAAGGGAATGGTTACCAGAACGAATTTGATATGTAGCCTGATGAGGTTCATCATTCCCGAAGAGAGCAATTAGAAGCAGGGGATTATTACCCGGAGCACAGGAGGAGAGCAGCAGGAGGAAGTTACATGGAGCACAGGAGGCGGTGTTGGCGAGGGTGGTGCCCTGGATGAACCCCGGGGGACACACACAGGAGTAGCTGCCCTTGCCATCGTTCACACATGTGCCCACCACACACGGGTTGCGAGTGCTGGACCCACACACGTCCACTGGGGGCGAAGGGAGAAGAGTGGGGGAATGGGGCCATGAGGGCATCAGGATGTGCGTGGAGAGGGCATTATGTGTGCATGGGCAGGGCATGCTGTGTGCATGGGAGGAGGATATGGGTGCGTGCATAGGCATGGGCGGACATTGGCCAAGTAGAGGTTGAAGGCTAGCAAACGGTCATTTGCACTTCAAAACATAAGAAACCAGCTCACACGCAGAACCAGAAACTCCCTGAAGAGCAATTTCAATCGATGCACTAGTCCAAAAGTTCCAACATCACTCAGTGCACATGCGCACACTACCAATGTCCCCCCCTTGTGTGAATTACCATAGGCACAGGTGTACGACCCATCGGTGTTCTTAACTTGAGCAAAGTGGGAGTCAGTGCACTTGCAGTGATTGCTGGTGCCCTTCTTGCTGCAGTTGAGCCGCCCACACGGGTTGAACACAGGGCCTTGAATGTTGTACTGGAAGGAGAGTGACCCACACGGATCAGCACTGACTTCTTGACATATCCGGTGGGAATGGGGTGTGAGCACATGGCGAATGTGGTATGATACAGTCATAGAGGATAGATTCACCAGCTGAAAGCTAAGGGATACAAGAAACGTCATGAAGAACTATAAGCCTCACTTCTGACGACAGGGAAGAGGCCCGGAAGAGTGTTGATGCCGCAGATGCCATCGCCACTGCGAATGTCCATGCGCATGTGGCCCTGGTCGCCCCACCCTGTGCCCCATGAGTTGCGGATGATCCAAAAGGGCGGCAGCACGGTGGAGTTGGAGGGGTCGGAGCCCGCAGAGAGGTAGCCCACCACCAGCACCACGTGGTTCAGGTGGTTGCTGAAACACTCCTCATCCGCGTACTTGCCTCTCTGCCCACACACACATGACCACAGTACACGTCCGTGGAAACAGGACATACAACAAAAGGCCACAGGAAAGAAATATGTGCAACTCGACATGAGCAATATTGAACACAAACTTGCCGCTTGGCCCGCACACACACGGTCAGCATGAAAAAAAACATGTCAACATAAAGAACGAACTGAGTCGAACCAAAAGGGTAATGACGGCATGTCAAGGGAGGCTTGGTGACGGTTCATCCACTCCTGTGCCATGCTCTGAGGGTGGGCGCTGGTGCATGCCCATTCTGACATCCGCACACACATGTAGGTACAGTGGCCGTGCTGACACAAGCCCGAGCCCATACAGCGCGGTTCGTGCGACACGTCCTGATGTGAGTGAGAGTTCAGAGGAGGAGGCGGAGGATGATGTGAAGAGCATAACGAGGAGGACGGGAGTGGGGACGATAGCAAGCCGGAATGGGTTCTTGAATCCTCTCAACCGACCATGGAGGAGGTGATGATGATGGGGGTGGGGGGAGGGGGAAAGGGGGGAGGGGGAAAGGGGGGAGGGGACAAGGACGAGGAACTGGAGGATTGGAGCCGGAGGGGAAAGGATGTGGCGGAGGGACAGGAGAAGGGGTAAAGGAGGAGGTGTCCCAGCAATGGGGTAGGGGTAGGGGTCACGCCAAAGGGAAACGAGCGCATGATTGTACCGTTGATGCAGCGAGGCCGAGAGTGGGGAGTGCGGAGAGTCACTCTACAACAGTGGCTGAACTACGTGGGAGGCTACGGGGTTTTACGGATGATCGCAGCGTTCTCTAGCACTTGTGCAAATTTGTGTGTTCGTGGGGAAATTTGGAAAAAAAGTCACTAGCAAAAAAGAGAACAATTATGCACAACAATTTGACCAAGGCGACTACATCAGGAACGCACTAGCAACCTAGCACAGGCAATTCGACCTCCAGCGCAGCACTAGGGCGGCTTGCCAGCGTCGCAAGTCGGCGGCCTGCCAACGGAGCTGGAAAGCTGCTCGCCAACACAGCAAGTCGGCGACTTGTCAGCGCTGCACCGGGGCGGCTTGCCAACGCTACAACAAGTTGGCAGGGTTGCACCCGCAAGTGATCACGTGAGCACCTACCAAGTAGGTGCAGGTAGACGGTTACACATCAGGCACATTGTGCAGGTGCCCATGTCAACCTCATGTCGACGGTTGCTCCAAATGCACCATGTCGACCACGCAATATTGTCACGTAGGTTGACTTCGCCATGACCACCTGGACGACGTTTGCGCACCCCCGCAAAACTTCATCGACTAGGTTACCGTGTCAACCACAAAAGGCCGTTGATGCCCACAGGTCGCCACCCGGAACTCGGCGTCGTGTCGACAACCACCTTCCCGTCGAAGCCCAGCGCTGCCCTCCAACTTCCCTTCGTTGGCCAGTGTTGAAGTCGGCATCGCCAACGTCAGCCTCGATGTGGTCCCGCTGAGGTGGTTGACCAAGTTTGTCGACTTCCTCCTCCAGGCCGACGCCGACCACCAGGGCCAGCCGGACGCGCCCCTTGCGCGCCAGCCAGCAACGTTGGCATCGCCCAAGCGAGGGAGGGGTGGGGCCCACTTTCGTGTCAACAACGAGGCCAAGTGCTGAGGACATGGTTGGGAAGAGGAGGGGGGTGAGAGCGGCTCGTGGGAGACATGGCCGAGGTAGTGGGGGGGTGGTTGGGCGGCGGAGAGTGGTGGCATGGTGGCCAAGCTACGTAGTGGCGTGTGAACTGGTGCGAGGCGGCGCGCAAATCATTTGCGGCAAATGTGATTAGGTGCGCGTGCATGTTAGATGAGGCACGCGTGCTTTGGTGATGTGGCGCGGATTTGAATTTTGGTTACGCCTGGATGTAGACCCGTTTTTTAGGTTGAGATTTTCAGGCTATAAATGGGCGTTAAAGAACGGAGGTAATGCGATAGGTAGGTTAACTTAGTCTCGGCTTTTGGATCTAGATATGCAGGGTTGACATTTATCGACACACTCGCTTCCAGGTAGGCTTGAGCAAAGGGCGAACGCGAACATGTTCGCGTTCGCCCTTGCACGAACATGGCTGTTCGGCGGACCGAACTTCGGTTCGCCGAACGGCTTTTCCAAAAAAGGGTGTTCGGTGTTCGCCTGTGAAGGCGTGTTCGAGCGAACCTCAAACTCGTTTGTGTTCGACGCGGGGCGGCGTGCAGCAGCGGCCCGAACACGAATGTGTTCGAGCAAACCTCGAACACGTTTGTCACGAACACTTTAAGCTCGAACCGAACAGGTGTTCGTTTCTTAACTCGCGGAAGACGGTGAGCGGCACAACAGGCCTTCTTCCGCAGGGTTTAGGGTTGCACCACTCGTGCAGTTGAATTACTAGTATGACGAGAGCAAGTACGAGTATTGGATCGTACCTTCCTATAACCTCCAAGGCAACGCACTTCGAGACTGCCCACTAAGAGAGACAGGATCAGGGGTTGGTGTGAAAGAACAAGGAATGAATACACTAGAAAACAGGTGGGTACAAGTATGAAAACCTAAAAGTGTTGTACCCCATATTGTCTACCCCACTACAGCCTACACAGTTTATAGCATATAAGTTTGACACACGCCCATAGGCAAAGTGGGGGAGAACAAGAGGTCACAAGACCAGTCAAGCAAGGCAAAGCAAGCTCAGGGTGGATCACAACGTCACCACACATTCCGAGCACAAGTTCAAGGCCACAAGGCCAGTTCATATGCAAGATCATACATAAAGGTGAACAAGCAAGTGCAGGTATAGAAAGATCACAGTACAAGCAAGGTCAAGAAGTGAGCAAGTGAGGCCAGGTAGGCACAAGACCTAGCATCGTACAGCAGCGCTGATGATCACAAGGCGGAAGTGCCTTGGTAAAGATATCAGCAGTGTTGGCCTCAGAGGCCAAGTATGCAAGGCGTAGCTGACCACGCTGCTGCAGCTCACGAGCAAGGAAGTAGCGAAGAGCAATGTGCTTCGTTCTGTGCTCCAGTCTGTGCTCCCGACACAAGGCCAACATGGCCTTGTTGTCTACGTACACAACTGGAGGAGAACGAGGCGGCTCTCCAAGGTCAGTCAGCAGGTAGGTGAGCCAGCGAAGCTCCTGTGCAGCCATGGCCCCGGCGTAGATCTCAGCCTCACAACTGGAGCCGAGAACTGAAGACGAGCGAGTAGACCGCCACGAGACAGAGCCGGAACCAAGGCTGAAGGTGTAACCCTGTGACGACCGCTGCGTAGCCTGGTCGTCAGCCCAAGAAGCGTCCGCGTGACCTGTGAGGACCACTGAACGCCGCCCTCCAAGCACTAGCCCCATGCCCGACGTACTGCACAAGTAGCAAAACACCCTCTTTGCTGTAGCCATGTGCTCTAGTCGGTGTCTCCCAGGAGCAACATAGCGTGCCAAGATGCAAAGAGGCTATGCAAGGTCAGGTCGAGTGCAGATCATCAGGTACATGAGGCAGCCAACAAGCTCTGGGTACGGGCCACTCGGCTCTACGGACTCATCCGAAGGCAGAGCTAAGAGCGATTGGCGAGTAGACAGAGGAGTGGCCTGAGGCGAGGAGTACGTGAAGTCGAAGCGCTGAAGGACCTGCTGCACCATGTGTGATTGAGTCAGGGTAATGGTGCGCTGTGCTCTGTCCCTGGTGATCTGCAAGCCAAGGTAGCTGCGCAGTTCACCCAGGTCTGTGCACGTGTGTCTCTTCTGCAGCTCGGACTTCACGTGGGCGAGTCCAGCAGTGTCAGCAGTGGCAAAGACCAAGTCGTCGACGTACACGAGGATGTAGAACGGCGGCAGAGAGGTGTCGGTGCGCAGAAACAGCGACGGGTCGGCTGTAGAATGAGCAAACCCAAGAGCCGCAAGCGTAGTCCTCAGTGTGTCGTGCCACTCACGCGGCGCCTGGCGGAGACCGTAGACTAGCCGCCGGAGGCTCCACTGGGTACCAGGAGGAAACGACACAGTGAAGCCAGGTGGGCGCGCAGCCAGATCTCCTCGTGCAGGCTGCCCTGCAAGAAAGCAGTGCTGAAGTCAAGAGAGTGAAGCTCGTAGTCGCGCTGAGCGGCTATGTGCAGCAGCACCCGAAGAGTGGTCATCTTCGGGGTGGGAGAGAAGGTATGAAAGTAGTCAACTCCCTGCCGCTGACTGAAGCCTCGAGCCACGTAACGCGCCTTGAAGATAGGCGGAGAACCCGGCGGCCGCTTCACCCTGAAAATCCACATGCCACTGACGATGTTCGCCCAAGGTGGGGGAACCTCGTCGACGTAGGTGCCTGTGGACTTCCAGGAAGCCATCTCTGCGTCCATGGCTGACTGCCACTGTGAGGAGTAGGGACCCTCGATCGCCTCAGCGTACGATCGAGGAGTCAGGATGTCTGGTGCATCCGGGTCTCCCTCAGGGGCAATCAGCATGGACACGAGATGAGGCAAAGCAGCAGCAAAACACTGGAACTCCTCCTACCTGTCCCCAAGGACGTCCGTGCTAAGGGCACACTCACCCCCGACGGACGGAGGACAGACAGACTCAGACTCAGCAACAAGACTAGCAGCGTAGTCTAGACGACAGTGAGCAGCAAAGTCGACCAACTCAGCAACTAAGGCAGACGCAGCAGTGGACTCAAAGGAAGGGTCAGTGACAACAGTAGCTAGGAGAAGCGTGACAGTATGACTGGCAGCACGAAGAGAGTCCGACTCCGGGTCAGCAAGAGCAGGAAGAGAGGACTCAGGAGGAGACGGCAAAGGGACACGCTGCGGAGCAGTGGAAGGACGCAGTGCCATCTGGTGCGTGCCCGGGACCGCAGGAGGACGCTGACGCGGAACACGAAGACTAGTGTGAGCAGCACGAACAGGCAACGCAGGACGAGACGCAGGCGCACGACGCTCAGCAAGACCTCCAGTAGGACCAGTGTAGGGAGAAGGAGCAGGCAGTGGGGAGGCGAGCTGTAACTGTGACTCCGATGGGACAGGCTGTGGACACTCTAAGAGAGGAGGAGGACCAGTAGAAGGCGGGAGACCAAGAACCTGCTCAAGGAGCGGAACGAAGTACGGCCGCG